TTCTGTCATATGATCATTGTGGTTTGTGCCTTGTCTTCCTGCTACTCTGAGTTCCTGTTTGTTTCTGCCTGGTCTTGAAAATCCAGTAAGTGGATATATTTAAGTTTTTCCGGATAAATTTCCTCGTGCTGCGTTCGGGCCCTGCCTGCTTCCTCTCATGGCACAACGAAAACAATAGGCCTTAATTCAATTCAAGTACGCAGTTTCTTCTAAATATTCACTGACTCATCTGTTCCGTTCCAGCCATTTTTTTAGTCCCGTGGGTCTTCCAAATTCGGAGGAAAATCCACGGCGGCTCAGTGAAAAGTGGCTGCTCGTCTCGTTGTTTCGAGAGAGGCATCAATGGCGCGATAATGAAGCAGTGATTAATGAGGAGCCGGAGGAGGGATAAACAGATTCTTTTCCTTTTTTTTTTTTTTTTCTTTTTTTTTGCTCTTCAGATTAGTGAGAGCTCGGCTGTTATATAAGGAGGGCCTAGAAATAGAGCAGAGCATGAGCGAAGGGGAGAGGGAAAGCCCTCCTGATGTTCTGCCTTACTAAAGGGTGAGGAGGAAAATAGTGGGGGGGGGGGTGACGCTAGAAGGATTTCCTCCCCTAGTGTCGAACAGCTCTGGAGGATAAGGATAATTCAGTTCACATCCTTCTTAGTAAAAGTAAAGTATTGCAAAAATATTGTGGGGGGAGAACACACAAAATATCATGTTAAAACAGGAAAAAAAAAACAGCACAGACTTCAGGATTAAATCGTTGCTGTATTTGTTATTGACACCTACTGTGTTTCCAGGAAAAAGCCTCTTACTCACTTTTGAATTGTGAATTTTAAGCGAGGTCTTGGATGTCATTGCACCAGGTGCCTGATAATAATAAAAAAAAAACACATTTTCATCTCTGTAGCTTCAGGCAAGCGCAGAGACTCTAAGTAGTACTGTAATACTGTGGGGGAGATAGAAGTTTGAATTATTCATCCATGATCCTTTTTTTTTTTTTGGTGCTGCATCAACTGCAGTGTGCGCTACAGTGGAAACCCTTTGATTTGTGCTAAGGATGACATAATTGTCTCGCAGCTGCCAAGTCAAAGTTCTACAGACATCTTCAGACCATAGAACATTTGTGTAGCTTTGGGAAAATGATGTTCATGTATATGTACATTTATACATATATGTACATATATACATACTGTATATATATGTATGTGTATATATGTATATGTTTGTATATATGTGCATATATGTGTGACTATATATGTATTGAATATATTTCTTTCTGACTGATATATTGCCATAAAATATATGGTTTTACTCCACAAATTCAGTTTATATATATATATACATATATAAACATATTCAATATGAAAAATATATATATTCACATTTACATACATATTGTATATATGTATATGTGTATATGCGTATATACTGTATGTATATGTGCATATGTGTGTATATAATGCATATGTATATCTGTATATGTGTGAATATATATGTATTTCATACTTCAATATGTTTCTTTCTGACTAATATATTGCCATAAAATATATGGTTTCACTCAACAAATTAAGTTATATATGTATATATACACATATATATTATATGAAGCTGATTAATTTATTAGAGTATTATATTTCTATCTGTTTCTGTGTTGTAGATGAGGGCCAGACTGTGTGTGGGACGCCTGAAGACAAGGAAGGCCAACGCCTGGGTGAGTTGGGTATGGAGCTACGGACCTTATGTCACCAGACTCTGGACTCCTTGGACTACCTTTTCTTTGTCTTAATCGGCTTTGTCATCTTTGCTGCCGGCACTGTGTCAGCCTGGGTGATGGGCACAGTGATGGTTTTCTACGAGCGATATATCAAGAAAAAATCCCAGCAGCCCGATACGGACGAGGAGGACGAAACTAGTGACCAGAACAATACCTCCCGCGCCCAGAGCGACCTCGGTAATGGAAAACTCTTAACCTCACAAAACGTTTAGGATCTAAGATGTCTTCCCTGCCCACTGTAGATACCCACAGTGCCTCCTGTCAACTTCCAGAACTGTCCATGAAGATCATCAGGACTGATACCGTACCTGCAGTGTTTGCCAGATGTCCGTCGGGTGATGGAACGCGCTGAGTAACATTGAGGTGGAAAAACTGTCATAGTTTCTGTTATTATGGGTGGGAGCAGAACTCCATCGTTAAGAACTATATAACCTACTGGTTTGACGTAGAATGTTACGAGACCAAACGTGGTATTTTATGCGAGCAACAGCAACAGAGGCGTCATTTTCAAATTTGTCCTCCATCTGTGTGTGAACTGGACTATTGGCTGTTAACACATATAAAAGTATGAATAAATGAGGTTATTGTCAGTCTAGTCTAGCAAATTTCCACAAATAATACGTTTACAGTCTGTTTATATATATATATATATTTTAATTTATTAAGAAAATTAGATATATTTATTTCTGAGAAGGTTCAATCGTAATGATGATGCTAACGATGCTAATTCAAAGGTTCAATCGTAATGATGATGCTAACCATGCTAACCTTTATATTCCCCGTTAACTGTAATGAATCTTAAATGGAACAAATTATCCAAATTGTAAAATCCCTTTAAAAGGAAATTTTAATTGTTAGGGATAGCTTGATACAACTATTTTCACACCCGTTACCGATACCGGAACGGCAATTTGGAGTATCTGTCGCTACCGATATCAGTCTGTTACGTTACCTTATGGCGTGTTGCAAAGTTACGTTCAGAAGTTAAGCTAAGGCAGTGTTTCTCAATTATTTTCTGCCATGCCCCCCCTAGTGGACATATGTTTTTTCGCACCCGATCTGGTTTGACCTTATATTTTGTCCGTAACGAACGACATCCTGCGAGGCTGTCGTGAAAGTGGTTATGCCGAGCTTTTGCATGTATTTATGAAGTTGAAAGCTAACGTGTACCATCTGCCGAAGGCTGTTTTGGCAGCACTTCCTGCTGGATGGCGAGTGCGCTGAAGAGTGGAACAACCGATTCATCTTCTGGGTTTAAGCGTGACGTGCTGTGTCCGTTGATGTGGTTTAAGCGTGACGTGCTGTGTCCGTTGACAATTAACATAGAATGATGTGGCTGACATGCGCTGCAGTGTTTTTTAAAACCGTCTCATGGCGTAGCCCTCAATGACGTTGTCGCAAAGATCAGCGCACGGTGTGCTCATCCACCAGGTCTCCACGGCGAAGGTGTCGCACAACGCGTCCCGCTCTGTCACTGATAAGGCCATGCGATGCCTGAGGCGAAGGTGATAGTGTGGAAATAGGATATCCGCCTGATCTAATTCGTGCCATCACATCGACACAAGGGGAAACAACGTGTATCTCTTTCACAATAATAATTTTAAAAAACAAATATACCCTGCTAAATTGCTTGCTTCTTCTGCATGAATAATGCACTACCGCTAGCTCTGCCGTGTTTACTGTAACATCAGCCTGGGCTTTAGAGTGTGCTATTACCAGCGCATGCTAAGTGATTAACCGTGCTGCTGGGTGAAGTCAATTTCCATTTTTCTGTGCCTTCCGCGCCACCCACACTGCAGGGTCGTCCCCGTATGGAAAGCACATCTGTTATAGATGTGTTTAGACGCACAGAGATGCAGTAAAAGCTCCGCTCCTGCCTCGGGCTACTCCAACACGTATCGCCTCTTTGTTGAACACGTACCGCCTAAAAGCCGACGAAAAGTGCTCTAAAGTTTTCTAAAGCTTCATTATAAGCCGTAACCAGAGACTCGTCTTCCTACATCATCAAAAGAAATATTTGGACCCAGCTGAATAAAAAGGCCTATAATCATGTTCTTCTACGAGACATTGTTAGCTCGCGCAGCGCCGCGCCGCGGAGGGGCTTAGGAGTAAGCCTTTGAAACGCACTGTGGAGTGGAATACAATATCAGGGTGCGTTCACAGTTGTGGCGGATCTTTTGAGGAGGGGGCAAAAGCGGGAAAAAAAAGGGGGGGTATTTACACCGCAACCCTACTCAAACGCCC